GAACCATGCAGTGTTCCCTTGCTCTGTTCTGATGACTGCCTCCTGGTCCAAGTATAAGTTTCTCATTAGAACGATCAAGTGTTCTGGGATTCCCACTCTTCTCAGAGTCAGCCACAGTTTGTTATGATCTACACAGATCCTGATAGCTTTGACAAAAATGTGAGAATATTAGTAGGGTTTAGCTCCCTTGTAGACAGTTCATTCACACAAACGGAAGACTTTGGCCCTGGAATATTGTTCTAAACTCAGCATACACTGAACTTCCTGCTGTATGCCTAGCATGCTGCCAGGACTGGCACTAGCAATGGGCAGGACAACCACAACAGATGGCAGGCACTTCTGTGAGGGTGCTGCCCCATGACCAAAGCATCTTCTCCAGTCTCCTGTATCTCTTGTTTTTCTTCTTTTATGGGTATTATAACCATGTACTTCATTGTCAAGCTAATATGCCTGCCAAGGTGGGCTTTCATCTTGACTGGGAGACAAACAATGTATCAGTCACTACAAAGTCCTTTTTATCTTCATGGCCCAACATTATGGACACTGTGTCACCATTTCTGCTGTGAATGGGCTCATTCTTGTCTTCCTAGCCATACAGTTTGAACTGGCCCTTTTAGGCCCCAGTTCAGGGTAAGGGAGTGGGTTCTGGAAGTTGTCAGGTGGCACTCAGAATCCCAGTGCTGCCTCTGGCGCTCCGGGGGTCCTGGCTAGGTGGGCAGGGAATACAGATCTGTGCTTTTCTCATCTTTTTGTCTGCAGGTGTGTCAGCACAGGAGATGCCACCTGCCAAGCTGATTGTGTACCTGCAACGCTTCAGGCCTGAAGATTATAAACTTCTGCTGGAAGTGAACAGCTCCAGAGAGAGGCCACAGGACAATAAACATCTGGACAGTAGCCTGGATTAGGGGTGTCACCTGCTGAAGTGTGGGAAGTACACTAAGTCTAATGGGGTTCACTTCTGGGCTCCTGCTGCTTCTTCTGGTTTCCTTTCCAACAGTGATCTCTCTCTCCCCAGCTCTGCCTGTTCCTTCACCTGCCTCCAGCTCCCCTTTCTTGAATCCTCCTTGACTGCCTCTTCTCCCTCATCCGTCAGATGCAATCTGTGGGCCGCCCCTCTCTCCTGGCCGCTAAGCAGCCTCCATTGATTTCCGCTCGTGTTTATAGGATTTCCACTTAGCCGTGATCAGTAGTTAAGCACAGGAAAATCCCTTGCTGCCCCCCCTCCCTTGGTCGATGCCATTGATTCTGCCAGCGGCTCCTAAACCGCCTTACAGCTGAGTTAGAGATGAGGGGAGGCAGCAGGGATTTCCCTGCCTTGGGGTGTGGGGAATAGCATCAGGTTAGGGAAAGAAGTGGGAATCGCTGTTGGAAACGTAAAAATTCTGATCTGATTTTACAGTGCCCTCCCATAGGCTGAGAAGGTGCAGTGTTTCCTGTGGAAGTTTGGGTGCAAACTGGCTCCCCAGGCTGGAGAAGAAAAGAAAGAAAACTCTCCTTGAAATGGGTTTCAGAGGCTCAGGGAAATATATTTGATTCCTGTGTAAGAATATTTCTTCCCTTGCTATTATAATACATGTTTTTTACACAGCTAATACCCCAATATGGCTCCTCCCCTACGTTTTTATTGGGCTTTGCTTATTTTGGGGCGGGGGGGGGGTCACAGGGTTTTCAAGTGAGAAGCATAGAGCCAGAGCGCCACCTGCTGGGAACCATCAGGTATAGGCTTCAAGGTGCGGGAGTCCAGCTCCTGCTACCGTCCCTGCCCCCATCCATCAAATCTGGGCCATAAGGTTCCAGACTGTGAGTGGGGAGACTGAGTCTGTTACTGCCATGTCTCCATAGGCAAGTTGTTCACCTCAAAGATCTCCTGCACCGACTGCCCGAAGTGACTGTAGGTAAGGCGAAGTTTTAGCCGCAAAGGGGCCTAGGAATAGAGAGCAGGGAATAGGGTTAACGTCTGTGACTTTCCCCTTCCCCCGGGTCTTACACGTGGGGTGCCAGGAGCTCACCTTGTTAGGATTGAGAATTCTGAGCAGCTGGGTGATGGGAAGTCCGCCCTGAGCTAGGACTGTGTCCCCACTGGGGGCTTGGAGCTGTAGCTGGAGACTCTGGACAGAGCACAGGAAGGCAATGGGCTGGGCCCAGGCAAACCCTCAAGCGCCCAGGAGTTCCATTTCCCAGAGCTTGTTTCTGCAGACCACGGCCCATCTCATTATCTCTTCCCCACACTCTCCTTTAATGGCCTCTTTTCTGAAGTGCCCAGGCCACTGTCTGAACTCTAATACAAACCTTAGGCACAGCAGCTTGGCAGACAAAATGGGTGACATCACCTGCTGAGGAATTGCTGGCAGTGGCAGTGATTAAAAGCAAAGCAGGAATTCCGGGGGGTCGAGCAAAAGACAGATTCAGCTGTACTCCCTCACGCTCAAACACTTTAAGATTTGGGATGGGATCTGGAATAAGAAGACAGAGGCAATTCAGTTCTTGGCCTGGAGATAACGCAATTTATTCATTCATAACGTGCACAATTAATATAGCAAAAACGAACTGTGGACATTAGGTACAGAGCACTAAAGATGCCAATGAAAGCAGGCAAAATAAGGTCCCTGGCCTACCGGAGCTTATAGTCTAGTGGGAGAGAGAGGTGGAAAACAAGAAATAGAATTATGGACTGTAATAGGTTCTATGAAAGAAATTATGCTCAGGTAATTAAGGGGGTGAAGGTGGCAGGAGAAAGCATTTGATGTTTTAGCTGAGACATGGAGTGACAATGAACTGGTCAGATGATGTGCTAGAAAAGATCATTCCACGTAAAAGCATGAAATGCCAAGGATGTGAGGTAAGAAGATTGTAGAGCTAAAAGGGACCAATGGAATATACAGTGGGAAAATGGTATGAGGTGAAAGTAATGGGGAAGAAGCAGGGCCCCACAAGCCAGAGTACAGAATCTGGAACAAGGGAGGACACAGAAGGATGTCCAGGTAGGAATAGAGAAAGGTACCTGAACTTCAGTTATTGGCTAAGAAGCAGCAGCATTATTTCCACCTCACCTTTTCTCAGATCCAGCCTGCCAAGGTATCTTTCCTTTGCAGACAGACTTACCCAGGGGTGGGGAAACACAGGGCTGGTCTAAGAGGTGTACTAAAGTACCCCCTGGGGAGGGATCCAGAAGAGGGGGACACTGGGCCTCCTCAGAAGGACCATCCAGGAGATCTAACAGATCCAAGAGCTTTGAGGCCTGAGGGAAAGAGGATTAAGGTTGAGACTTGGCTGTGAAAGCAGGCCAAGTCTCACTCCAGGGTTTCCAGCCTGCTCACCTGGGGCTCTGCAGGGACAGGGGCTGCTGCTGAAGTCTGGGGTTCTCTGCTTTCCGCTGCCTCTTCATCAGCCTGAGGTTGCCCTCGATCCATGAGAGGCATTTTTTCAAGGATGGCAGCTCTGAGAGGATGCAATGTCCCTTTTGAATACCTGCCCACTTGGTGGATCTGAGGCCTCGAATGAGAGGCATTTCGGAGGAGGGTGAGAATCTTGGACACATAGCAAGTCAAAAGTGCCCCTCTGATTTCCTCACGTGGTACACTATTGCTGGTTTTCAGAAGAGCAGTGGGGGTAGGGAGGGTTAGATGCTCGCTTATCTTCAGTGTATTGTGGGTGGGAGACTCCTACCCAAGATTCAGGAAGCACAGGCCAGGGTGAGACCCTTGTACCCAGAAAGTAAGTTTGAGAAAAAACCGAGGTTTGGGCCCCAGAAAGCAGCGGAATGTTGAATGTACCTCATGTGGTCATACTTTCGGAAGAGTGTGTTATATTCCACAGCCCGCTGCTGCAGTTCCACATCTTGACAGCTCCCGTAGATGGACACCACCTGTCGGATATGTCTGGGCCACAGAACGGTGTGTAAGCAAGAACAGGAGTCTGCTTAGCCCTTCAACTCCAGGACATAGCAGGGAAGGGTGAGGAGATAAGGATTGGGTATTTTCAGAAAAGCAGAGGAGAGGGCATATGCCTAGAGAGAAGTTCAGGAACTGGATGCTGTGTACATTGAGTCACAACTGACTCAACTCATAGCTGACCCTTCAGCGGATTTTCAAAGGCAGTAAACTGCAATGAAGGAGACCGCCCATCTTTCTCCTGCAGAGCAGCTCATGAATTTGAACCCTGTGACTTTGGGATTGCAGCACAGCTGCTTCTTACATCTAGGCCACCACAGCTCTCAGTGAAATGACATTTCTTACTAGGACTCCAAGGGGGAGGAGCTATGAGAGGGGATGGGATATTTCCTTACTTGTTGTCTCCATGGAAGCGGGTACTGAGCTTCATGAGGGCTGTGAGGGCATATCCTCGGGTGGCCGGCAGGGACAGATGAGACTGTAGCACCTTTTCCAACAGCATCAATACCTCTTCCTCCTCCACCTGCAGAGTGGACACAGACAGTGGACAAGTCCCAGGACCAAGTCCTGCCTCTGCTGAGACCCTCAGTATATCACCAATGCAGGCCTCACCTGAAGTGGCTCAGTTTCCTCACAGTTCCCTTCCACCAGGAGGTCGCCATATTCCCCAATACACCAGGCTGCCACCTGTACCAGTGGTTGCTGCAAGGAATAAAAAACATCACTGAGGCAATGTCAAGGTCTGCTCTCCATCTCCAGACCCTGTGACATCTTCGGGCACTGGAGATGGTGAATGCTGGAGGGATGAGGAAAGGGAAGAGCGTCTGCATACAGAACAATTATATGAAAAGTTTTAGTAGCTGGCTTTTGGCTGGCACTTGGGTCCCCACTGCCCTCTGGTGTTCAACTTTCACAACTACAAGGCCTAACCAAATGGTACAGCAAGTGCGTTTCTAGGCTCCCTCCCATTCCCACCCCCCTTATTGTGTACCATTGAATTGGATCTGACTGGCACAGAAGGAGACTGCCCCTCCTTCTCCAGTGGAGCATCTGATGGAAGACTACCCTTCTTGATAAGGATAAAGGGCTGCAGATAGTGGCCAGCATCTGCTAATCTCAGCATGGAAAGTAATAAAACCTAGTGCATGCAAAAAGATCTCATTTGATCCCCAACAAAGCCCCATGAAGTAGGCAAGATAGAGAGCTAAGTACATTGAGCATAAAGTTAGTCATTTGTGGATGCAAGACCAGTAGGTATTAGAGTAAGGAGAAAAACCCTGCTGTTCTAACTAAAAGTAAAGGTCTGTCCTTCACGGTTTCCTCTGCTAAGAAAATAGCTGTGACCTTAAGGGGAAAAAAAATGGTAAAGAACTAAGTATTAACAGTAGGTGGCCAAGGAAAGGTTGTAGGAGTGGCTGGGCCTGGGCAGAAGGACATGGTACCTGAGAGATGTCCTGTTTCAGGGCACTATAGAGGCGGCACACAGAGTAGGCGTGGAGCTCCTGGGCTTCCCCAATCAGCTGGATCAGGCTAGCCACTGCATCATCTCGCACATGGCTGCCTGCCTGAGGGTGGGTGAACAGGGTCAAACCAGTGTGGTGACTGCTATTCCCACCATGCTCTCTCATACCAGTCCCCACCTTACCGTGGTCAGCACACGCAGGATAGTGTCTATGTGCCACCGCTTGGTTGGCGCAAACCTGGGGGATATATGGCTCATCATGCCTGGCACTGACCCTCCTGCAATTCCATCCCTTCTGCTTCTTGAACACTTGACACCTCACCTCTCTGCAGCTAACAGGATGCCTGATGCACAGTCAGCCCGTAGATCATGGGGACATGACTCCAGAAAACCTTGTAGCTCCTGCATCATGGCTCGCACATTGGAGTTGTTCACCAGGGCCAGGCACAATTCCAGGGCACGACTGGCAGGAGAAATAAGATAATGTCATGTCATTCAGGTCACCCCTTTTCTACCTCAGGCCCTCTTCTTCCCCAAGCACTCATCCCCTTAGCTACCTCACTCAGCAGTTCTAAGCCCACCCAGGTCTTAGCCACCAGGTGCTGGGGCCTGTTATTCCCTCCAGCCCCACTCACCGGCTGAGGGAGGCATCAGGATCCTGTAGACATTCCACCACAGTGGGCCGGTGCCGCTGCACAGCGCTGTGATCAGACTGCACCAGTCGCAGCAACGATGTTAGGGCGACATACCTGCTCAGTGTGGGAGATACCCCATCATGCCAATTTCCAACAGCCCTCATTCACTATTTTGCCTTGAGTACAACAGACTCTGGGAGAACAAAGACAGAGGGCCTGGATATCAGCGGCATTGACCAAGGCAGACACTTGGGACTATTACCTAATGTTCTTGTCATTGTTGAGCAGAAAGCGGCCAAGAATGTTGACAGCTAGAACCTAAGCAGGGCAGAAATTAGGGATAGTCAAGGAAGGCACAAACTGCTCATTAAAGAGTGGGGGCCACAGGGTTTATGATGGATGAGGGGAGAGATCAGGGAAGAGACCTTGCTTGCTAGGGATGGTGAGTGGGGCTGCAGTGGGGAGAGGCATTTGATACCCGTAGACCAGCTGCAGAACGTATGTCCATGATGGTGAGCACTGTTTCAAACAGGACTGCATTGCCTGCATTCCGGTTGGTCTCTGTGTTAGTAGCCACCTGAATGGATTAGAAGAGGAGATGCATCTTCAAAGGCCTCTGTCCTCTTCTCAGTCTCTCTTACGGTGTCCATCCAGTCCTCAACTATCCAATACATTTCCCTAAGCTCCCACTATGCTCCAGGACCAGAATGGGCACAAGACTATAGCACTGAAGATAAACTGTATCCTTCAGGAAGTTTAGTTCTGAGGAGAAAACAAGGCGATAATAAAGCTACTCATGATGGGGGTCATGTGAGGACACCCAGGGTTGGTAGGATCACAGAGCAATTCTTCAAACCCTGCCCCTTTCTTAGTTAGTCCCCCACCTGGGCCAGCAAGTCATTCATGGTCTCACTGCTCTCCTCATGGTTCCGGCCTAGAATCCGAAGCAAACGAAGTATCTGGACCTAGGGATGAATTAAAGAGTGAAGGGTGGGAGAGCTTATAGGATAAGAAGGTGAGGGTCTGAGGAGGAAAATCTATCATTGAGAAGAGAATTATGAGGTCTGGCTGACTCCCTAGTACCTCCTTATCACCTCCATGGGTTCCTGGACAAGTAGTTGTTACTGTCAGACTACATTTTCTGACCAAGTTACTAACCTATCCCCTGCCCCAGAACAGCCAAACAGGTCTTGGGATGACCAAGGCAATCCTATGCCTACCTTCTTCCTACCCAAGACACTGAGCTACTATTCTCTGGGAGGCAGCCTCTGGTCATGATCTTACTGCTTAATCTCTTTGTTCTTGGAATACACATAAGGTCAGCCCACCTGTAGGAAAGGGTCACTGATTCCAGATATACTGTGTTCTGTGGAATATCCTGATGTCACCAGAGTCCGGAGAATCTGCACCAGCTGGGGGACCACCTGGAAGGAGGGCATAGCTTTGTTTGGGCATTCTTCCTATCTGTTCAACCTCCAGCCCCATCCCTACTGCAATCCAAAGTCCACTCTTACTGAGCTGGTTTCAACTTGTAGCGACCCTTCATTGGGTTTCTGATGCCACAAATCTTTATGGGAGCAGATTGTCCATCTTTCTCCCAAAGAGAGGTTGGATTCTTAACTGCAGACCTTTCAGTTAGCAGCCCAATATATTACACACTAAACCATGAGGGCTCCTGCATCCTTTTCCCTCTGCCCCTCTTTTCCTGGCCCAGGGTCTGCTCCTTCACCAGCCCACCTTTCGAAAATGCCCGAGGGCTGCAGGGTTTCGTTCGCAGAGCTCCGTGATCAGCGTGATGGTGCCCAGCAGGATGCCTGGGGTCAGGGTGGGGGAAGCAAAGGGTGGGCCGGGGGCAAGGGAGAGTCTACTGCATGTGTGTATGTGCGCTGCCCTTCTGTGGTGAGCTAGGATTCCTGTCCGAGCTTTCACTTCTCTAGTTCACACACAGTCAGGGCTGAGACAAGATGGGGAGCCCTGTAGCCTTACCATGGTGGCGTTCTTGAAGCAGCTGGGTGCAGGGTGGGAGGAAGATACTGGAGAGCTCAGGGACCTTCCGAATCATGTGCACCGCAGTCAGAACAGCCTGCAGAGGTCAGGGATCTCAAGACAGGGCAGGAGTCTACCAAATTCCATAGCAAAACTCTATCTGACAAACCAGATGGCTTCTGGAGGGACAAATCCCTAGGATTGTGCTACCTCACCTTCTTGCGCACGTATGGGCTGGGCTGCAGGAGCAGTTTTTCCACCTCTGTAGCCAGGTCCCGGCACATCTCAGCAGAGCCCATGGTGCTCAGCGTGCACAGGGCCAGGGCTTGCACTGGTTGAATCCCCTGGCTTAGATCACTGCAGAGTTGGGAGGAGGGTCAGTCAAGTCTCTGAAAACACCAGTCTTTCCCAGTATTCACATGAGGCAGCCCCTTGGGAATTTTCCAGTTCCCCACTATCCCATTTCCATGATTCCTAGGACCACTCCCAGCCTTCTCACTTTTTGATGCTGTTAGTAATGAGCAAGTGAGCATCCTGCCGTTCATCCAGTAGAAGCATGGCCCCCAGGTAGCCCACCCTTTTGTCTGAGAATCTGGGGGAGGCAATCAGTTTCAGGCACTCCATCTACAGGGAAGGGGTGAAACCATTAACACTAACATCTTGATTTATTTTCCTTCTTAATATCAGATTAATTTGTGGGGTAAAATACAACTTTCCTTCCAAAACAGGTATAGAAAATTCAGGCATTAGTGGGAAGTTTCAAGGGCCTAGAAATCTTTGGAACAGGAGAGTTAAGGATAGGATAAGGTGCCCTGAATGAGGCTGGCCAGAGAACTGAAGGATTTAGACCAGCTCCTTACCAAATAGGCTGTGAGGGGGCGAGGTATGCTGTGTACATTGTGAGCCCAGAGGCTGTCATTTGTAGAATGAAAAATTTGAGGTACAGGTAGATGAGAAGGTTTGAGACCTCTCCCCACTAGTATTCCGTATCAAACTCAGGAGGGAGGTATCGCTGCCCCATACCTGTCCAAAGTGGGCGGGGTAGCCCAACATGTGGACATAGAGCAGCTTGGCCAGTTGGGTGTGCCTGTGCAGAGGGTCTCCATCCCGAAAAGACGCGCGGATGTGGGCGCACTCCTTTTGGATCACCTCCCGCTCTTGGGCCTGGGTCTTGGCCCCTCGAATCTCTTCGATTAGGTCCTGAAGCTTCAGCGAAGGCATCACCATCCTGGGGGCAGAGCCCAGGAATGAGGCACGTTTTAATACTCTAGCCGAGTGTGCCTCTCCTTTCCGCCCAGGCGTGCCCTGTGCCAAAGATCCTGAAGGTCCATGTCCCATTACTATGGGACAAACCAACCCGCATTTACCTTTCCACACCTGGATTGCAAAATTCCGCCCTCACGGGTCAAGGAGACTCCCCAGTACGCATGCGTGCTCTACTCTCCACTTCCCTAGAGTCTGCGCCAGAGCCCCGCCCATTTTCCCCTACTGCACGCACACACCTGACTTTCCATCCCTAACTCAATCCTTTCTTCTTTCCGAACCTTGCGCTTTTTCTTCACTGAGATTTCTCCTCCCACCCCCATCGCAGACTATTTCAGCTTCCCCACCCATGAGCCAGCCCTTTACACAGCCTCACCTGGGCCCCGTCTCAACTCCGCGCCTCTCCCCCTAAGCGCTTCCTGGAACAGGGCCGGCCGAGGGGCGGAGCCTCATCTGGTCCGTCCTCCTGCCCCGCCCCAATCACAAGACCCTGCCCCTCTCAGCAGGGCCTGCTAGACTCCCTTGACGTTCAGCTTCTGGTTTTTGGAGTTTACTGGAAACAACTTTTGTCTGTAGCAGAGAGGTTGGGGTTCCCACAAAACAGCTTGTACATCTTCACTACTCAGCCTCAGCTTAGGTTTGTAGCCATTACACCCCAAAGGAGATGACAGTCCCCCCCTTTTTTGAACTTTTTTATTAATATATTTTTTTTTTGTTAAATTTCTTTGTAATTTTTTTTCCTGCAAGACTTTGTGTTGGCGGCACTGTTGTAGTTTAACTTCAATCCCAAATTCCATGAAACAGAAATCAGAAGTAGTTTGAGAGGGGAGGAAAGAGGGAGGCAGGCCAAGGAATAAACAGAGTTTGACTAGAAAAAAGAAGAGGATGTATGTGGTGGGCATTCCCAGGCAAGGCCATTCCTTGAGGGAGGGGATTAACAGGTGGCTTACCTCTGCTTCATGCAGGGGAAGGAGGAACGAGTCCCTTAAGGAGGGCCCTACAGTCCCTTCTTTTTAGGGCTTCCTGCCTCCAGGGGAATAGCTGGTACCAGGGACTAGGTACAACTTCAAACAGGGCTCTCCACCGGCCTCTCAGATTTGACTCTTAGGTCTGCCCTGCCTGGAAAGTGTGAGGGGGTCCACTTCTTTTGATCCCCTCCTTCTGTTGTCTTCCCGTTTCACAAGATTCTGATGTGATGGGGGAAGAAAGATAATCTATTTTGAGATGATTAAACTTGTCACAACCCATCCTGCTCTGTGAGTTCCTGTATCCGGTTCCGTCTCCCAGAAGCGCCTGCCCCAACCACAGCTGGCAGAGTTGGGGAGAAAGGCCTTGCTCAAGTGCCTCTATCCCTTTGCAGTAGAAATGCTTTTTTTGAGTCCCTTAGAAATTTAATCAAAGGCCACAAGTGAGTCCAGACCAACCAAACTTTTAGGGGAGAGACGGAAGGGTGAGAGAGGTCAGTGGCAAAGCTAAGCACAGGGTAAACTTGGTTGCACTGGATACTGTTTGTTCCTTTATACTTGCTCTTGGCATGCCACCACAGGGAATTGGAGGAGGTGCTGGCTACTGAGGGAAAAAAAAAGATGGAGTCGTGCTCCTTTTCACTTCCCTTATCTCCCTCAGGGAAGGATTGAGTTAGGCAAGAATTCAGCTCAGTGCCTGGAGGTTAAGATAAGATCCTCCAAGAGGCAGAGGCCAACCTCTTCCGGTTTCACTAGGCCTCAGAGAAACACCTGGCCTTTTGGATCAGGAGGCCACAGCAGCTTAGCCAGTACCTTGCCCAGTATCCAGTCACCCCTTTCTCCATTTTCTTTTGCCTTTCCATTCAGTTTCCAGGAGACTCCTTAAGATACCAAACCCCTACCCTCAGTGAAGTTTAGGTCTAAAAAAAGGTGAGGAGATGGGGCAATGGTCTGACTTGATTTGTTTGTCTCAGAGAAGAAAGCAACTCTGAGAGAGAAAAGCCCTTCATATGTAAACAATCTAGAGAAAGAGAAAGGATTGGGATAGGGAAGGAAATGAGGAAGACAGAGACAGAGCTAGAAGAAATGAGATAATCTGAAACGAGAGAGGGACAAAGAAAAAACGAAGAGAGAAAAGGGAAAATAGAAAAAATCAACAACCCACAAAAACAACCAGGAGGAAGAAAAGAGAAAAAGGCAGGTTCAGGGGGGTGAAGAGGCAGCAACCAAAGCCAGGACTAGGCTAGGAGGTAGCCTCAGGTGAGGAGCTGGGAGAACAGGAATGCCAGACTGAGGTCCAAGAGGGCCACGGCTCCCACCACCAGGAGGTTGGCAGCTCCCTAAAGAGACAGAAAAGGTAGGCTCAGTCTCTGAGAACCAGGTCCAGCTCAGGTTCCTTCTTCCTGGGGATAGAGCTGTTAGCCCTAGGACCTACCCTCACTGCCCTACCTGCAGTAGCCAGAAGTGGGAAGGGAGGCGTAAACCTTTGTTTTGAATTACAAAACACCCTTTTCCTCCCAGTTAGCGCCTACTTTCCCTTAGGCACCCTTCACGGTAGAAATAGCCCCTCCTTCCTCCCTCCTCGTCTTTCCCCTCCCACTGGCATATCACATGGTCTAGGCAGGCGGTGCTTGGCCTTAGTAGCACATGTTGGCAACAGCAGCTGTTACTGCAGTAAGAGAGGAATGAAGGGGTGAGGATGTGGTTGCTAGGAAACAGGAGAAGACCTGGAATCCAATCAGAGTACAGGGTTCTGGGGAAACTCCGCCCCTCCCAGTTTTCTGCCTTCTTTCCTATTTCCCTTCTTCCCAGGAGAGGGGGGAAGAGTCATGTTAGGGAGGGAACAATCTTTTTTTATTTCTAAGCACCAAAGAGAGAAAGTGTGGAGGTGGAATGGGGGTGGAGTAGGAAATTGGGAGCTGGAAATGGTATGGAAGGAGAACAAGGAAAGATGTTCTGGCTGTATCATTATTAGTTTGTAATCTTGGACGCGTTACTTTAAGTGCTCTGGACCTCAGTTTCCCCATCTGTCAAATGAGGGAGTAGGACTTGAAGGTGATTTTTGTTTTCTTTCTTTCTTTTTAAGGTAGGCAGGCATATGATGCAAGACTGGACAGACAGAGAAGCAGCTGAAGCCAAGGCAGAGTCACCCACAGAGGGATGGATCAGTTGGGTCTGGAAAGGGTGGAAAGGTTTTGAGGGGGAAGGAGCAGAGACTCACAGGGCACAGAGTGGGACAGAGGCTGTCTCACCGGCTGAGCAGGGCGCTCGGTCGCAGCAGGCTCCTCGAGCTCTTCCATCAGGCACCCAGCATCAGGACTCCTGGAGGACGTGCCCCTCAAGACTGGAGCGGCTGTGGGCCCAGGCTCCAAGCCTCCTGGGACCCTCAGCTGGGGTGAAGAAGGCTCTTCATCTTCCCCTTCCTCCTCTTGAAGACTTCCTGAACTGTCACTGCAGCCTCCGAGGAGTGGGGAGCCACTTCTGGGCCCAGGGCCTTGCATCCCAGCCTCATCCTCAGCCTCATAGCCAGCTAGTTCCTCTGCCTGCTCACCTGGCCCCCCCCATTCCTCCGGCCAAGCTTTGGGGCTGGATAAGAGACCTCGGTCTCCTCCAGGAGGCAGTGGGTTCCGGCAGGCAGGGGGTCGCCAGGGTTGATGAGAGGAGGCAGGACTGCTGGGCAGTTCAGGGGAGCCCTCTGAAGGGGTCAGTCCATTTTCATATACCCCAGGACTGTCCTCATCCAAAGGCTCTGTGTCGGAACCTTCTGAATCCTGCCTGGGTCTGCGGCCTAGGGCAGAGACAGCTCAGAATCAGAGAGGCCTAACTGGTCTTGGGTTGGTGAAGTTAGTTTTACATTCCCGATTGGGGCCCTCCCGGGATTTTGGCATCTCCATACCTATATATAGCCTCTTACTGCTGGCCAAGCAGTCATTCCCCTATCCTTAGAACTTCACAAATTTTAAGCCTTATTTCCCAAACAAGACACAAGACTCTAGCTCCCCCTCAGCCCCCACTCCATCTTCTTGGAGTCTCACACCTTGGTTATCCCCCTTTCCAATCGCCTGCAGGGATTCCTAACCCCTAGTCTGTATAATTCCCCAGGAGTTCACACCTCCCACCCCCACCCCGCCCGAGCTGTCCACACCTCACCTGGGGCTTCTAACATGGGTTGCAGATCCTGGGCTATCAGTTTCGCCATTCGAGCTGCCTCCACAGCCTTCTCAGCGACGCTGCTGGCAGCCACTGCCTTAAGGAGGGCGTCTGCTGCCCTGTTGGTCCCAGGAATGGGGATTTAGAAGGCTTTCCTCTACTTCAGCTAATGCTCAAATGCTTTAGCATTCAGCACATTCCACCACACTAGATCTGAGCAATCCTCTGAAGTCCTTTTCCTTCCTCAAAGCTTGGTAGGTAAGAGCAGCTCTCCTTTGGTTTCTCATCTCACACTTGGGCTGAGCTTAATTTCATCACTCACTCTTGCTCCTCTGAAATACCTCAGTCATCAAGTCCTATAGTGTTATTGTTTTTATGTGCTGTCGAGTCGACTATGACTCATAGCGACCTCTATGTACAACAGCTCTGGACCCTGCTCTATTCTGAACCAATTTCATCGTCTCTGACACACCTACCCCTATTACACCGGTTGCTGAGTCAATCCATCTCATCCAGGGTCTTCCTTTTTTGCTCTATCCCTCCACCCTTCCAAGCCTGATCTTCGCCAAGGACTGGTTCCTCCTTACAACATGTCCAAAGTATGTGAGACAGAGCTTCAGAATCCTTGCCTCCAAGGAGCAGCCTGGTCCTATAGCAGCACTCCCCTTTTACTAGCAGCAGGGCCAGGCCCTCCTGGGATCCTGTCCTACTCCTTTCTTTGAGACGACTATACTCTCATAGCACATCCTCCTGCAGCTGCCCCTGCTTGATGCTTCCAAGCTAGGCTTACCACCTACTCTGTTGTTTGTACCTCCTGTTCTCACTGCTTTGTCCTACTGTTCTCCTTTGAATCGCACACTTCTGTGGAGTTCCTGGACCTTAAGATCTGCCCTCCTAGCAGCTGTACCCCTGCCCTACCCCTGTTTTTGGAAACCCTCCCTGTCCTGTGGTAAAAGCCTTTGCTCCCTCATGTTACCACTGCCACTCCATCTTATTATTTAATCCTACCTCTTCAAGGGCAGATTTCCTGACACGAGTTTTCCCATCTTGCTTTCTGCACTCTTCTGTTATCACATCATTCTCCTCCCTCCATCAGTCTCATTGCTCCACCTCACCCTTTTCTGAGTTACAGAGCTGGAGGAAGGGTAGTTTCTGCTATTACTGTATGTCCTACCCCTACCAGGATGCATGCTTTCTCATCCTTGTGAGTGTACCTTTTGGATAAACTCTGTCTCCCTTCTGGAAGCCCCATCACATCCCACTTGCTAGGTAGGTACAGGTAAGCATAAGCATTATTAATACTTCTATTTCTGCATCTCAGCTCACCCTCTTATGTTAGATTTTCTCTTTCCTCCACCCTCTGCTATTAATTGCACATGTCTTGGCATTAAGAAATTAGTTGTTATTATTAGTTGTTTCACCGAAGGTGGAAACTAAATAAGCACTAATAGGGTCAATCAGTTGTAATTGCCATGGGCTTGAGTAAATCAAGACCTGCAACTCCTTCTGGTCATTGGTCTGTGTGATCTGAGTATTAAGGGAGTAAGGATAATGGTGATGTCCACTCTAGCCTTAGGTTCAACTCTGGGGGAGACATAGCTTCCTTCCCTCACACCTGGTTGGTCAAGGCCTTTACAAACTTCTCAGAAAGACTTTGGATGACCCTTTTATGGCCTATGTTTTCAGATTCCATATGACCATCCCTGTCTTGAAACTGAGCTTTCTGAGTCTGAGGTCGGGTATGAGGATTATAGTCTTGCGTTGCACTGCATTCCGTTCGTGGCCATGAAGCTGGTGCACTGACAAGAGCCTGTGTTTTGTGTAAAAAGGTATGAGGGTATGGATAATCAAACCCTAGTTCTTAGATTCAGCGTTTGCTCAGGCATCAGGCCAAGCTCAGGCTACCTGGCAGAAGCACCTGCTACTGAGGCCCTGCTGTTTCCATGGCAGCCAACAGCCAATCAGGGTTGTTAGGCCTGTTGCTGGGGAGACCAGCCTCCTCCCACTGCCAGATCCTCTAGCTACTGAGATCAGTTTTTCTTTCACATCTTCCCCTCCCTATCTACCCTAAAATGTTCCCTGGTGCTTTGCCCTCCTCCTCCTCTGGCTTAAGCTGGACAACCACCCAGACATCAGATAGCCCTACAGATACACAGTCTCTGAATTTGTCCTGATTATGGTCGGGGTCTCTCTCTCACACATCCCTGTTACCTCTTATACAAACTCATTTCTTGGAGCACATTTAGGCATATCCTGGCCTACACTCTTTCAAATGGTGCCAAAATTAAACAAATAATCCCTCAACTGTGCTCAAGAAAATGAAATATATAAAAATTCAAATGTATGATTGTATAAATAAGGAGCCTCTCATAACAATAGCTTCCATTAGACCTGTACTATTTAACTCAATAGCCACTAGCCATATGTAGCTATTAAGCACTTGACATGTGGCTAGTCTGAATTGAGATGATGTGCTGAATTATAAAGCACACAAGATTTAACTATGTATATATAAAATTAATAATTTTATATTTATTACATGTAGGAATCTAATATTTTGGATATATTGGTTTCATTAAAATGTCACTTTTTTAACTTTAAATGTAGCTACTGGATGATTTAAAATTGCATATTTGGCTTACAGTATATTTCTCTTGGGAACTGTTTTTGATAGCAAGGTTCCTGATTCATGAGATGTAATCTGATTCACAGAAAGGAAATTTTATTTACAGACAAATTTTTGGAAATCTCATCAGCTGATTAAAGGGAAGCAGATGAAGCAAAGCTGCAAGGGAATATTATTTCAGGTGGGTAGGTAATTTCTGCCAGACCTGCCCCAAGACCCAAGGTTGTAATGCTATTAAACTGAGGGCAGCCTGGGTGTGGCTAGTATGTATGTGGTTGTTTCTGTCTTGGGCAAAGGCTCCATCATTCAGCTGCTCCCAGCCTGAGGCCTAGAGGCTGGATCAGCTGCAGAAGGAGGAAGACTAGGGATATGCTTTCTCTAAAAGGTACAAGGCAATACATATTGCTACACCCACACACACTAATGGATTCCACAGACACACATCTTCATAAAAGATACCAAGATACACTTACAGTCTTTCACTCACTCTTTCCTTAAACACTCACGCAGTTACAGCAACAGACACCTGTAGCCTCAAATACCCAGGGCTCCAACTTCTTGGTCCTAGGCCTACATTTGCTCTTCTACATCAGACCTAGACTCTGGGTCATAGATCTCTGTTACTGGCCCCCCATTTCCCCTTCACCCCAAAACTTCCCTCTCCCCAGGCCACTCTCCCAGCTTAGACCTCTGCACATAGCCTCATACCCACCTGGCAGCTGCGATCTCCTGGCGCTGGCGGGCAGCGCTCACGGCTCGACGGGCACCCTCGACGGCCCTGTCCACCTTCTCTTTAACTTTGCCCCTCCGAAGGGCTAGTGGCAGGAGGCTGCGGACACGCCCCCCATGCACCAGCCTGTTGCGCTTGTACTTGCCCTCCTCCCGGGAGCCGTCAGGGCGGGTGGTGCGCCCATAGCCGTGCCGACGGTTACCCAGCCACTCGCCTTCATATCGCAGCCCGTTGGAGCGCTGGCTCACGCCATAGCCACTGCGCCGGTCTGCGCGCCATTCGCCCGCGTACACCTCAGTGGCTGAGCCCTCGATAAGGGCAGGTGGTGCAGGCACCGGGGGCCCACTGGCCTCGGAGCCCGGGGGTCCTGTGCTGCCCACTTCGCTGCTCACCTCGCTGCGCAGGGAGCCCCGCTTGCTGCCCAAGGAGCTGCGACGCCCGCCCGCCCTGAGGCCGCTGAGTAGCAATGAGCGGCGGAAGAACCCTCCGGCAGCGGGCGTGCGCTTGCGGGAGGCCGCGCCGTCGGTGTCTCCAGGCCCGGCCAGTACAAAGCCGCCCCGAGAGCCCGAGGCCGGGCTTCCTCCCTCGTCGCCCGGCAAGGGCAAGGGCGGAGGTGGCGTCGGGGGGTCGCTGTGGCCCGAGTCTAGGGATGTGCGACGGGGCGAGCGCAGCAGCGCCGCCTGATGGTAGGGCACACTCTGGCGCACCCCGTAGCCATGGCGCTTCCCGGCCTGCCACTGGCCCTGGTAGGTGCCTGTGGGTGGGATAGAGAGTCAGGATCTGCCCTTACTTGCACCCCAGTTCCCAAGCGCCTCAAGCAGCCAAAATGTTGGGTGTGAGAGGTGGGGTCTGTTAGTGTGGAGGTAGGGGAAGGCCACTAGAAGCTTGGGTTAGGTGAGGCTGGGAGACAAGACGTGGAAAAGCAGAATGAAGGCAGCAAGCACCAGAAGTCATTGGCTTTTGACAGTGTGGATAGACAGGGGAAGAGGTGTTGCAGGCCGACAGGAGACTGTGGAACAGGCAAATGGACAAACTAAAGGGAGGTCCAGGGAAAGAGAGAGACTGAGACAGGGAAGTGTGACAGGTAGGCCTGGAGAAAGAAAGTAAGAAACAGGTAGATTGGCCAGCGGCATGAGGGACAGGCACATCTGTCTATCTATTAGGGGCAAGCTAACTGAAAAAGTGTGAGAGAACAGATAGAGTGGAGGTGTGACAGGCAGATAAAGAAAGGAGGTGTGGGCAACAGTTATGAGGGGCAGGCAGATAGAGTGGAGAGATTGGGAACAGGCAGACAGCGAAGGGGTGGGGCAGGCTAGTTGGGGATAGGAAGAAGCAGACAAATGAAAGGGTGTGTGCGCGCGCGAGTCCGTCTGTCTATCTGGGAGTGGGTGGTAGTGGTGTAGAGCGTCCAGAACGATGAGTGCAGGGGGTGGGGAACGGGGAAGGCATATCGATGGGGAGCGGCATACGCGGGACAGGCCGACAGGCAGGAGCACGCGGACTAGCAGACAGACAGTGGGCTGGGCCCCGCACCTCCATCGGAGTAGGTCTCGGTGCCGTAGCCGTCCTGGAAGCCGTCCTTCCAGAGACCTGCGTAGCGCAGGCCGGACACGCTCTCCCACACGCCGCTGCGCCCCTTCAGCCCGCCCAGCCACTCGCCGCGGTACGTCCAGCGGCTCTTGCGCTCCACGCCCAGCCCTTCGCGCTTGCCCTGCTGCCAATGGCCCTGGTAGCTGTGTCCGCCGGGCCCCGTGAAGACGCCCAGTGACTCGAAGCCGTGTGCCCAGCAGCCACTGTACTCGCCTTGGGCGCCGGGCCCCGTGCACACGCCGTAGCCATGTGCTCGCCCCGCCTCCCAGCCCCCCACGTAGCAGCCCCCGTCGTCAAAGTCGAACTTGCCCCCGGGGGACATGCATGTAGTTGGCGTGGCCTCAGCCCCCCGGCTGCTCAGCGCATCCTGGGGCTGGGGAGCCGGCTGGGGGCCTGGGAGCCGGGCGAGGCCTGGGGGCGGGGGCAGTTAGACTGGGGCGGGGCGGGGGAGCCCCTGCGCTGGCTGGCAGGGCTGGACCCTCATCATGAGTGGCTGCGGAGAAAGGGGGGGGAGTGTCAAGTGAGGCCCCTCCTCTTTGCCCGCCGCTCCCTGGCCCGGTGGCTCCCGGGCATCAGCACCTCCCCACCCCCCTCAGGCAGTATCTTGCAGCAGCTCACAAGATTTGGGGTACCGGGGGCTTCCCCCACCCTTCTGTTTTGTAAAGAAATGGCCCCTTCCAGGAATGGGGTTTAACCCCAAGTGGGAGTCCCACTTCTCCAACCCAGAAACCCTAGGTGTCGAATGCCAATTATGGATGTCAGCTTGGGGGTCCTGAGAGGCAGCTGGACAGGGTTGCAGGCCACCCCTTTCCCTGGCTACTGTTGGAACCACTCTGCCCGGGTTTCTCTGGCATCTCTGACAAAGCGGGGGTGGGGCTGGATGTTGGAGCAAGGTGGGCAAGGGGTTTGGTGGGGAAAGGATGGGGAAGGGGGCTAGCTCTGCAGGGAAAAGGCAAGGATGGTCAAGGCAGGCGGAAGGGAGGGGGCAGGGTACTCACCGTGTGGGCTGTGGCTCAGGCTGCCTCCCAGGCACAGCATCCATGGCTGGATACCTCCACTCCCACTTCACCCAGGACAAGCCAAGCCCCCTCCCCTTCCGGAGAGATATTCCAACCAGAGAGCGAAGGTGGGAGAGCCGCGGGAGAGTCCCCTCTGCCCAGCTCGAAGAGCAGACGAGGGGGGGTGGTAGCAGGGTAGTGGTAGGGGTAGAGGAGATGAGAATTAATGTAGGGGGGGAAAAATCTGCCTTGGATGGAGATAGGGAAAAGCTCTGGGAGCTTGGTGGGAAGGGGGAGGGGGCTATCAAGAGGGGGTGTTTTTATTATTTTTTTTTCCTTCTTATGGTTGGGGGAGAAAAAAAATCAAAATTCCGATTCCATCCCAGCACAAATCAATGTTTGCTCCATCCCAGCATCACGGGGGAGGCTGGGCCAGGCAGATTTAAAGGGGCAGGAAGAAGAGCGAAGAAAGGGCGGGGAGAGGAGGAGATAAATGAAAAAGACTGGCAGAGGTGGTGGTGGGATGCCCAGGCTAAAAATGATGGGTGCCTGCTAACCTTTGAGAGAGGGAGGAAGCAAATAGAATTAGAGAAGAGGAGGCACAGAGACACCCCCGACCCTCTAGAATGGCAAGAGACCTAAGGATGGGGGCAGGGAGTAGGGTGAGGCCAAAAGAGAGGAGAGGAGCGAGGGGGAGGAGACTGAGCAGAAGATGGGGAGGCTGGGGGAGGCCGAAGCCAGGCGGGGGAGGAGAAATGCTGGAGAGGCCTGGAGAGACCGAGAGAAATACAGAGAAAGGTGCAGGGGTGAGAGCTAAGGAGGGGGCAGACACAACTGGAGAGCGAGGAAAGGGGGAAGACCCATTCTGAGGCTGGTGAGGGATAGCAAGGCAGCAAGGAGCAGGGGTGGAGGAGAAAGGGGGGGCGATAGATACGGAATGAGAGAGGCAGGAAGAAAACTCTGTACAGGGAAGGCAAGAGGTGAGTATAGGAAGAGCACAGATAGAGGCAGGAGGACCGGAAGTGGTATTTGTGGGTCTCTGGGGAGAAAGGAGAAACCCAGGGCTCTAGCCTTGCCAGCTGCTTGGACAGATGCCAGAAAGCCTTTGGGCATGGTTGCCTGTGTCCACTGGGTCCACCCTCTGCCTTTATGCAGCTGCTGTAAGAAGCTTACCTACTTGTCCTTCTGAGGAAGCTTGAAGTGGGCTACTGTTAGGAAGCCTGGTCACACCAGTGTTCTCCTGGTTCTCAAATCCCTTCCCTCCAGCAAATTCTCCCTCAGTTGTCCCTGTGAAGGGGAGTGGTGGGGTGTATAGTGTATTGTTTTGGAACGTGGAGCCTGATTGAAGACCATGCTTGGCAGTACCATGAAAATCCCAGGGTTAGAGCCTTTCCTTCTCATGTCAAACCTCGAGGCAAAGATACAGAGATAAGTTTGGGTGGGCCCTTCTGGCAGCTAGGACCCCTGCAGCCTGGCACCCTTCTTCATTTTCCTACCAGGTTACCCACAGACCATTTCCCCGCCTCTGTTTTGAGACACTGCATCCAGTGCCATCCCTGTCCCTGAGGATTTGGGGAAGAAGCCACTGTGTCCAATTACACTCTGTAGGATAAATTGTCAAATGCACGCAGTTGCTTTTATTTTCTGTAATTTTACAGAGAAAAGAACAGAGGCCCAGAAGGGCTGCCCAAGCAAAATTGGGATTAGAATACTAGATTTCAGCTTTTTCCATGTACTTGGGAACTTCCCTTAGATACAGGAACTCCATTTAGAGAACTTCGGTAAAATAAAGAGTATAAGGTTTGGAATAAACAGAAATTTCTTGTTCATTGTGTTTTCTCAAAGATAGATGTGAAGTTTGGGGGTGGGGGGGAAGGAAATTTTATGCCTCCTTAGCAGAAATCACATCTTCTAAGGATAGTAGTACAGCTATTGAGTGACACATTTGAGCCCACTTGGGACATGATTATTGGGGAGTCCATCCATTTTTTCATTCATCAGATATTTCCGTAGTTTACTGAATATCAAACATATTATTCAAGCCTGGTGGCCTAGTGATAGGGAGTTGCACTACCAACTTAGAGGTGCCGGTTCAAATCAGTAGCTGTTCCTTAAGAGGAAGAAGATGGGCTGTTTCCTCCCATACAACTTAACAGCCTCTAAATACTCTCTGGAGGTTCAGCTATGAGCCAGTTCTAGCTTGACAGCGAGGAGGGTCAGACAGAGATACAAAACAACACATTTCACACCCTCAGGGAGTTTGCTATCAAGTAGCTGGCAGCTAAATATACAATAGTGTGGTTAATATCATGACAGTAGTGGGATGGAAATAAAGAAGCCAGGGACCTAGCTCAGACTGACTTACAAGAAAAAAAAGGCATTTAAGATGAATTCCAAGAAGTTCTGGGGAAGTTCCAGTTATAACAATCCTTCCTTGTCCACGTAGGACCTTGCCCCACTCAGCCCCTAAGAGTTCCCTTTTCTCCAAGAAAAGAGGGAAACAAGAAAAGAAAAACCTAGCCTATGGATCTGGAGAGATGTGTGCCCTAATCTTGAGAGAGAAAGGGTAGCAGGGAAAAGCAGAAAGTGGGAACAATGACTTGCTAGCCAAGTGATTTGACTTTGTGTTCTGAACTAAAAATTAAGGTAGAAAGTCTGACTGCTTTAGAATGTGTAGGACACATAACCCCTGCTCCCTGCCCCTATATTTCCATGAATTAAGTCATCCAGCCTTCCAGCTTTTCCTGGGCTGTCTCTAACAGATTTCACAATCCCCACTTTGCCCAGGGAGGATGAACTAGCTCATTTTGTCCAGGTACTTCAGAAAAGGGAGCTAACACTAAACAGAGCAGATCTGTGTGAGGCACCTTGTCTGTATTATCTCATTCGAGTCTCATAACAGAACTATAATTGGGAGTAGTCTAGGATAGAAGCTATGAGCTGGACTTTCAAAGATGGACAAACTTCTACTTGAATCTTGAGTCTACCACTTTCTAACTGGGTAAACTTGACATTTTACCTAACTTTTTTGAGCCACAGTTTGCATATCTCTCAAATGGAAATAATAGGACCTATTCCGTATTGATTGAGAATATCTTCTGTAAATGAAATATATGATGATATATGTAGGGGAAAAAGCACTTGAAAAGTGTCTCAGACTTAATGCTATGAGTTTGTTCTGACTTATAAAGATTCCCATTGGGTTTCTGAGGCTGCAAATTGCAATGGGAAGGTTGTTATGTTGTTATTGTTGTTGTAAGGTGCTGTCCAGTTGAGTACAACTCATAGTGGCCCTATGAAAAAAAGATCTGAACCCAGTCCTGTCCAGTGTGATACTCAAACTTTCTGACACACAGAGCCCATTGCAGCAGTCACTGTGTCAATCCACCTGGTTGAGGGCCTTCCTCTTCTTTGCTGACCCTCCACCTTTCCCAACATCATGTCCCTCTCCAAGGAATAGCTCTTCCTAGCAATATGTCCAAAGTATGTGAGGTGAAGCCTCATCATTCTTACCTCCAAAGAGCACTTCAGCAGGACCCTCTCCAAGACATATCTGTTCATTCTCTTGGCCGTCCATGGGATGTTCAGTGCTCTTCTCCAACACCACAGGTCAAAGGTGTGAATTCTTTTTCTGTCATCTTTATTCATTGTCCAACTCTCAGACTCATAGCTAGTAATTGGAAAGACTATGGCCTGAATCTCTGAAAATTGCACTGGAGCGCAGAGAAGCCAAAGCACAAGGAAGAATT